ATCAATTGAACAGAAAAGAGAATCTAAATATAGATCTCCCCCCAATCTATGGGCAGTTGATTTTTAACAAAAGTAATTCAACATGGGAAAGGATAGTCTTATACTATACACAAAAATTAATTCAAAATGAATCATTGACCTATAAAGTGCAACAACTATAAGATTTCTAGAAAAACCAAACATCTTTTATCTAAGAGTCAACAAAGATTTTTTAAGCAGGACACAAAATGCAGCAACAGGTTTTTAAAAAGGAAGTTGATAAATTGGGCTTCACCAAAATTAAAAACATTAGTTTTGAGAGACACCATTAGGAAAATGCAAAGGCAAGGTACAGGATAAGAAAATATTTATAATACATGTATCTGATGAAAGTCAAATATCAAGAATATATAAAGAAGTCTTATAACTCAATAGTAAGTCAACCCAATAAGGAAAAGGCAAGAGATGTATTTGAACAGAACATCACAAAATAATGGTCATTAAGCATGTGAAAAGATACTCAGCATCATTTTCATCAGGGAAATGTAAATTAAAACCACTTTTAATTAAAAGTGAGAGGACTTCCCTGGTGGCACAGTGGTTGAGAGTCCACCTGCCGATGCAGGGGACATGGGTTCGTGCCCCGGTCCAGGAAGATCCCACATGCCGCGGAGCGGCTGGGCCCGTGAGCCATGGCCGCTGAGCCTGCGCGTCCAGAGCCTGTGCTCCGCAACGGGAGAGGCCACAACAGCGAGAGGCCCGCGTACCGCAAAAAAAAAAAAAACCACAGTGAGATACCACTACACACCCACTTGAATGGCTAAAATAAAAAACTGACAATACAAGTGATGGTTACGATATGGAACAACTGGAACGCTCATACGCTGCTGCTGCTGCTGCTGCTGCTGGGAGTCTAAAATAGTACAGCCACTTTGGTATTTTCTTAAGTTAAACATACACTTACCTATACAGTGATTCCACTCCTAGCTGTTTGTGCAAAAAAATGGAAAACATGTCCTTAAAAAAGACTTACATATTAATGTTTATAGCAGCTCCATTTAAGTAGCATAAACTGAACATGACCATCAACAAGTGGATGGATAAACTGTGGAATATTTACAAAATGGAATACAACTGAACAGTAAGAAGAAAGTGCAACTATACATGTAGCACACCATGGATGCTGTCTTGTAGTAAGATATAGAAGAGGTAAAACTTATCTTTAGTGACAGGAAGATAGATCTTTGGTTGCTTGAGTCTGGGTTTGGGGGAATTATTGACTGAAAAGGGGCATGAAGGAACTTTTGGAGGTAATAGACTTGTTTCATATTTTAATTGGGGTGGTTACACAAATGTATGTATTTGTCAAAACTTTTCAAACTGTACACTTAAAATAGGTGCATTTTAATGCACATAACTTATTCCTCAAAGTTCATTCTAAAAAGTATAAAAAGGGAATTCTCTGGTGTTCCAGTGGTTAGGACTCCACACTTAAACTGTCGGGGGCGCGGGTTCGATCCCTAGTTGGGGAACTAAGATCTGAGATCCCGCAAGCCAAGTGTTACAGCCAAAAAATAGATAAATAAAATAAAAAATAAAACAAACAAAACCAAAGTGTAATACTATAAAAATCATCCGTAAAATAAATCATCTGAACTTCAGTACCAGAAAATACTCTTAATAATTGCTTCATTTTTGCTAGGTGCTTATGAAAATTAACTTGAAATCATGTGTTGTCTTAAGATGTTCCATAGAAAGATCTATGGCTGTGATTTTGATAATACTTTAGCAAGAAGCTTTGTATAATAAAAGCATCTTTTATGAGAACTACTTCATTTTAATAGCAGAAGCTGCAGGGTTGATGGCTACCTTCTAGTTCTTTAGTTGAATAGTGAAACCATGTCAGATGGTCTGCTGTGTGAATTTCTCTAATTTCCACATTGGATTTAAAATGTGGGGATTATTGTTTCTTTAAAATAAATAATTCCCTTTGTGTACAGGCCTCATCAAGTGTACAGTTTATTTTTCTGCCCTTTACATTTTTATGCTAAAATACAGTTTTATAATTAAATTCTTCCCTATGCCCTTATTATAATTTTATGCACCAAGCAAAATGATTACCTCCAATGGCACATTTTCATTACTATTCAATTATTTTGATTGTGCAGGGATTTTATATTAGCCCATATATTCTCCAGCTTAAATACTTAGAAAATTTATACAGATATTACTAGTATTATTAATCATATGGCCTAGTAGGTATGAGTTCGCAAGTAATTTCCATTTTTTTTCCAGCATGATTCCTTATTTCATGGCTCAGTTTTTGTGACGTGCATGTATTTATTCTAATTCTTACTGACTTAAGTAAGTTTGCCAATCATTCAACTTTCCAGGATTGTGTGACAGTTTATGAGGGCAGTGATATAGAATATTTACAATTGGGATTTTCAGTGGTCCTGGGACATTTGGTCCACGTTTCACAGGGCTATGTAGACATGGGTACTCAACAAAGTGCTTGCATTTTTAAATGATGCTTGTTTTTCTACTTTAATCTTTTATGAGATACGGAATAAGACATTAAAAATCATTATCAGGAATCCCCTGGTGGTCCAGTGGTTAAGACTCCAAGCTTCCACTGCAGGGGGCACGGGTTCTATCCCTGGTCAGGGAACTAGGATCCTGCATGCTGCACGGTGTGGCAAAAAATAAATTAATTAATAAATTAATTAGTTATAAATCATTATCTATTGAAATAGATAGCACATAGTGATTTTTATGACATCATTATTGATAGAGGAAGAGGTGACTCAGATTGAGACGAGGGTCGAACGTGTAGCTCAGCCATGCTGTGTTCAAATTATTGTTGCAAGAAAAGAGTTTTTGCATTCTCAGTATATTTGATGTTCTCTTCCTCTGCCCCTAAAGTCTGGGCTTCGTGTTCCTCCTGTGGACTCCTGGAGGACCTAGTGCTTCCTCCTTTCAAAGCTTATTCCCCGGAGTGGTAATTGTCTGCTTCTTTACCTAGGCCTCTAGTCGTCTCTAAGATCTTTGTCAGCAGGGAAATACTACGCTTCAACTTGGTTTCCTCCACAGTGCATATAGTGCCAAACACACAGAAGGGCACAATGAATGAATGAACAAGTGGGATTAAGGAAGCAACACAGTCACTGCCATAATCACTGTCTTTGCCCAAACTGAGTCTGGTTTATGGTAGCAGCATTTCTGATATAAACCTTGACTTTTCAGCCGGTAAAACTAAAGAAATAACCCCTGAACCACGAACCCCGTTCTAGATGTTTTTCTGCACCATCGTAAATGAGTCCTGCATGATAATGGCACTTCCTATTTTAGTTTTCATAAGCAGTTTCTTTCCTGTTTGATAGTTGGAACACAACCTGGCTGGGCCTGTTTCCTTATAGTTACAGCATGTTCTCCCCACCCACTGTACCAGGCCCTACTGTGGATTATCATAGTTAACTTTCATAACAACTCAATGATACAGGTGATATGTAGGTACTGGGGAAATTGAAGCTTAAGGAGGTTCAGAAACATGCCCAAGTTCACACACATAGGTGAAGAGCTCAGGCTCAGAACCAGTCAGGCAGGCTGCATAGCCTTCACCATTTCTATTTTATTTTATTTTGTTCTATTTTACTTTGTCCTGTTCTATTTTGTTCAAGGAATTTGTCACTATGGGAAAATTTTGTTTCTGTATTAGAATGCTTAGTCCTTGATTACAGAGACATTGTTGGAGCATAATAGGTGTTCAGTAAGTATGGAATTAATGATGAAGTAATGCCTTCCAGAGTGTGCAATAAACTGTTAGGTTAAGTGCTAACTGTTTCTTTCATTCCAATTCCTTACATATTCCAATTCTTTCATTTTATGAGTATTCATTTTAGGAAATGATTTGTTCAAGTAGAAAACTCCCCAAACTGCTTTAAAAGATGTCTTCAAAAAACTCTTAACTTTGAAGACCTCACTGCCTTAAATACCCATTCACACGTGTAGGAATTTTGACTCTGTGCTAAACCAAACTTCCACACAGAGTTTAAGGTGGTGCTATCTCAGGCCCTTCCTGGGGAAAGAGGTAGTTATTCTCTTACGTTGCACATGTCCACTTTGTCATCCTTCCAGGCGCCTGAAGCAAAACAAAACAACACGACCCCCATGGTCCCCCTTGCTTTGGAGGAGGAAGCTCCAACCTGGTTTTGGAACATGTGAGCATCTCCACGTTCTGAGAAGACCTTAGATCTTTCTCACTTCTCCTTTTTCCCACTGTCTAGTAATTGCAAATGAGACAAATTGAGACCAATGGGTATTCCCCAGAACCTCAGAGGACCCCGTGCCCTCAGGGCTGCCAGAGAGGTTCTAACACAGGAAGCTCTTCCCTTTTCTGTTTTTGAACCCTCACCTGCTCCCTTTTCCTAACCCCCTTTCTGAACATATCAATTGCCTCCTCACTTAGGAGTTCAGTGGGAAAATCTAGCCACTGCAGAAGGACTGTGACATTGGTTTCAAATGCCATCCCCCAAACCCACATTTTGAAACATCTTACTCCCTCTGTAGCTCCATAACTTTTGTATGAACTTCTGTCCCACTCAGTACCACAGCTGGGGCTTTTGAATCTTCTGTGCCCTTCAGTCATCAATATCAATATTCTGTGATTCTAGGACTCCTTTCTTTACATAATCGTTCACTAAATAATTCATTTAATTGGGAAGTTCCGAAGTATATATAATTAATCTATTTTCTAAGAAAGCAACATAGCATGTAAACATTTTAAGGGAACACTTTTAACTGAAATAAGTGCATAGGTAGAAAAAATTTACCAAACCTTGTCCTTTATTTGAGCCCTTGCATGTCTTCCCCCTCTGGAATAGCCTGTCTCAAACCAGAGTTTGGTACCTCTCTTTCATGTTGGAGCAGAGTTCATATTCTATTTACTTCATTTCATATAGTCCCTTCCAGAGTTGTTTTTGAAATGTTAATTGCTTTTTCATTGTTATCTTTACATTCAGATTATATTCGGTGTCCATATTGTATGAGGAGATTTAATGAAACCGCAGCCACTCAACACATTAATTTCTGCAAGGATCAGTCTTCTCGCCGAGTCTTTTATCCAGCCCAGACAGCAGCCAAATTGGCAACCAGGGCACAGGTGAATATCTCTCCCCAAGTGCTGGCTCTTGTGCCCTTACATGCCCAGGGAAAGCAGGTAGAATTTGCTAGGGAACCTAAATTACCCATCCTGAGAAGTGTGAGGATCGAGATAGCCAATTACTGTCACTCATCTTCATGGGACTTGGCTTCTTTTTGAGGGGTGCTTCCCAGCTAACAGCACCTTTGGGTGTTGTAGAAAAAAATTTTCTACAGTGTTTGAAGCTTCTTAGGTTGAAGCCTTAGATGTATAAGTAGTGCTTCTATAGTATTATGGTAAAATTCTAACCAATGGTGGTTATCAGCCTTAACCACCTCAAAAAGACTCTTGAACCTGAGGTGAAACTGGCCTAAGTGGGGGAAGCCATCACAAGGGAGGCCTTGTTCTACAGGTCATGTGTTTGCTCTGTGGAGAGGGGTCTTCACCCTATTCAAAGCCAGAGTCAGCAATTGAAGGTAAATGGATAAAACAGCTGTTATAAATAGGTACAAATAAGTAAAATAACACTGGACCAGGAAGACAATAGATTTATAAAGACAGCACTGGGGAGAGCAGACAGCTCCATACACATCAAAGGTGCCGGGGACATAGCTTACAGCATACCATGAGAACCATTAGTTTTATAAACATGGCTTAGATACCAAGAAAAGATTAAATTGTTCTCAATACTTAACAGTATGAAGCATGTTTAGAAAGATTTCCATGATATCCAATATGTAATAGGGATGGGACCCTCTCTAACGATAGCACACCCCACGGACTATGGACCTGAGCTCTAGCTCAGCATATACTAGACAGTTACTGAATATCTGTGCTGAAGCAGCCACTGTGCCAAGTGCTGGTTGACCAAGGATTTGTGATTCGGAGGAGGAGGTGGCCTTGGAAACAGTGCAGTAGGAAGGTGTAGTGGTTGGCATATACAGGAGCGAGATGGAGGCAGAGGCCACTTGTGATTCAGCAGAGGCTTCAAAGAGAAGCAGATACTTTCTGCAAAATACAGATGGGTTTACCAGTCTAGATTTGAAGTTGGGAAGGACACTGTGCACAAAGTGTCCAGCTCGTGGCCTGAGGAGCCCGCCACGTGGAGCGAAGCCTAGAGTGCCTGTGGCTGAGTGACGGGATGGGACAGTCCAGGTGAGCGTCAGAGCCACAAGGGCTTTAAGCCAGGCTGGCTCAGAGAGGAGGAAAAAGGGGATTAAGTGAATAGGTGCCCTAAATCTGAGGCCAACCAGCCTGAGGGCCTGGAAGCAGGAATTGAAAGTTCCCTGGAACCCAGGAAGTCCTCCTGTCCATCTTTCCATCTTGTCTCTTCTTCCTGCTCTGCTGCTGCTTTCTCTTCTCCCTGCAGACTGACCACCTCAGCTTTTCTGTCCAACCATCCATCACTGGCCTCATGTGTCATTCTATATGCAGTGTAAACTGGTCACATAGTGCAGATTGGAGTGACATGGAATTGGTTTTTTAGAAAGATCACCCTTGCAGTTAGTGTTCAAGATGGTTTGGCGAGAGACCAGTTAGAAGCCACAGCAACAGGAAAAGAAAATGAGGGCTCAGAGTAAGAAGACTAATGGGGGGTGTGTGTGTGTGTGTGTGAGTGTGAGTGTGGAGGAGCGGGTAGATTTAAGAAATAATTGTTGGGACGGAGAAGCTGATCGAGTATAAGGTAAAAGAGGATCAGCGTTGGCAGAAAGGTTTTTAGCTCCAGAGCCTGGCAGATAATACGACACATCTAGATAAAGGAACACAGGAGGCAGGAGATAGGTGTGTTGGTGGGGCAGGCAAGGTGGTTATGATAAATATAGTTGTAGAGATTCAATCTTTACACCTGAAATATCATGGGAAGCAGTGCAATGTAGAAAGAGCCCAGATTTTTCAGTCAGTAGTCAGGGTTTGACTTTCAGTTTTATATTATCTACAGGTAAACTTGGAAAAGTTACTTCAATTCTTTGAGGCTCTCTTTAACGTGTGTCTTGCCGAGCTGTTGGGAGGATTATAGGTAATACCAGTACAGTGCCTTGCACACAGGGTGCCCTGGCCTTTTCCTCTTTCCACATTGCCCTGCCCTCCTTCCCCTCTCATGGTCTTTTCCTATAGTGGGATAGGCCCCACAATTTGGTGGGGAATATGACTGCTTTGGGCTTGACTTCAACTTAGTTTTGGAAAAAGGACAACTCCATACTTCCTAAAGCAGTAAAGGGTGCATTATGTTTCTTCGAACGATTCTTCTAACCAGTCCACAAAGTTAGTGGGCGTCAGTGGGCCCAAGGGGAGCAGAGGGAAGCAGCGGACGGAAGTGCTTTTTATTCCTGAAGAAGGCCAGCTGGCTGTCCTGAGTGCAGCCAGTGACTTGGCCCTGTTCCTCTCCTTGTTTTCCAGAGCTAAGTGGTGATTGGGAACACAGAAGAAAAATTGCTTGCTTTCTGAATTGCTTGCTTTCTGAGTAAACTCGCTGTAGAGTGTATTTGAACAGCAGCGCTGTTTCCCTTATGCCAGCTTCACCACTGTGGGGCCCTGCCTAATAGTGGAGCTTATTGAGAAGGAGAACAAAAAGGGAGGTGTTGTTTCAGTTTTGAAGGGCTGTTAACAGCACAGCTGAAATGTGTTTCTATTTTAAACATAATCAAGTATAAAAATGTGTTATACCCTTAACCAAAAGAGACCAGCGTGGGCCTCTGAAAATAGCTTTCTTTGTTTGGCTGGGGATGAGCTGCCTGCTCTAGCCTCCTAGCTCTCCTTGCCCAAGTGAGGATTCTCACTTGGAGGAACAGGTTATCTTTATACTGGAGTTGCCATGGAGATGTTGAGGGATCAGTAGCGAGGTAAAAAGGAGTATACAAAGGAGCTCCCAAGGAACCCTTTGGTCCTTCTTCTGTATTACTGTGACTGTTCTGCTACTGCTGCTCAGCAGGGAGGGGAGTGGCATGGAGATGTTGGAATTCCATGTTTAAAACACTTGCTGCCTGCCAGTGTCTGTTTTTCTTCTCTGTTCATGTATTTAAAAACAAAATCATCTTCAAGTGTAATGAAAAACTAAAATGTTCCATAACTATCCTTATTGACATTAAGTGATTTCTTATGTCTCCATACAACTAATTTTACAGGATTAACCTATCACCACTCTACCAAGGGCTTGATTATGGAATGAAAGCTCTAAAACCCCAGACATGGTTTTGAGCCCCAGCAGGGAGGACAGGAATGAGGCTACTAAGGTACAGGGTGTGCGTGTCCCCCTCCCCTGGGTGTCGCAGGTCCCAGACATGACTCCATCCTGCTGCTGGTGAAAGGGAGACAGCTTTACATCCTGTGTGCTACCTGAGGTTACAGAACTCTTCCCCTCTGCCCCCTCTCTCTCTGTCTTTGTCTCTATCTGTCTCTCTCTGTCTCTATGTTTTTCTGTCTCTTTCTCTGTCTCTCTTTCTGTCTCTCTCTCTCTCTCTCTCTGTAGGGTAGGGTTCAGATGAGTCCAAAAGGAGGAACGACTGTAACCAGTGCTGTGGGAGCTCTGCTGCAGAACAGGGCCCTGGAGGCCAGTGTGGTCCCAACCAGGCCAGGTGAGTTGGAGTGAGCATCTCAACTATCGAATGACAGAGTCAGAGGGGGCCACTGTTGGCTTTGGGATTTGCTGGCAGTCAGCAAAAGCTATGACATCTGAAGTTGCTTTGGGATATAAAGATACGTGGGTTTGTTTGAGGTTAAAACTTATTTGCCAAGAAAGGATATTTCCTAATTTACCAGGATTAGACAACTCTGAAAATGTACAAAGTTAGATCTGATTACAACAGCAGGGTCTAGAACCAATGTTCTCTGGTTTGGTAAAATTAAAAAGAGATTAAAGTTAGGAGATGGCAGTGTGCCAGGTTTTGTGTTGAAAATAAGGGAAGAAAATGAAATCACTGTCTCAGAGAGATATCCATACTCCCATGTTCATTACAGCATTTTTCAAATAGCCAAGATATAGAAACAACTGACGTGTCCGTTGATGGATGAATGGATAAAGATGGGGTATATATTATTCAGCAATAAAAAGAAAAGGAAGGGCTTCCCTGGTGGCGCAGTGGTTGGGGGTCCGCCTGCCGATGCAGGGGACGCGGGTTCGTGCCCCGGTCCAGGAGGATCCCACATACCGCGGAGCGGCTGGGCCCGTGGGCCATGGGCGCTGGGCCTGCGCGGCTGGAGCCTGTGCTCCGTGATGGGAGAGGCCGCAGTGGTGGGAGGCCTGCGTACCACAAAAAAAAAAAAAGAAAGAAAGAAAAGGAAATCCTTCCATTTTCGACAACATGGATAAACCTGGAGGGCATTATGCTAAGTGAAATAAGTCAGAGAGAAGGAGGACAAATACTGTATGCCCTCACTTATGTGTGGAACCTTAAAAAGTTAAACTTGTAAAAACAGAGAATAGAATGGTGGTTGCCATGGGTGGAGTGTAGGGTGGGAGAAATGGGGAGATGTTGGTCAAAGGGTACAAACTTCCAGTAATAAGATGAATAAGTTCTGAGGATCTAAAGTACAGCATGGTGACTCTAGTTAACAGTACTGTATTATATACTTAAAAACTGCTAAGAGAGTAGATCTTAAATGTTCTCACCACATACACACAAAAGCAACTATGTGAGGCGATGGGTGTGTTAACTAATCTTATTGTGGTAATCATTTTGCAATATATACGTGTATCAATCATCATATTGTACACCTTAAACTTATACATTATATTCAATTAGATCTCAGTAAGCCTGGAAAAAAAGAAAAAAGGGAAGAATTTCCTTCCTAGAATGAAATAATTTCTTCAAATAACTGAAAAGGTATGACCACCATTATAGTACTTACTATATGCTTGACCCATTTCATTTAATCTTCGCAATAATCCTCCAAATGTTTTAATCTATGGAAAGGGAAACTGAGGCACACAACTGGTAAACAGCAGAGCTGGATTAGATATCTACTGTGCTTTCTCTCTTCATTGAGCTGCATTAGTAATAATGCGCATTCTTCTTTATGATCAGCATGTACTATGAAGGCAATATGAATTAATTCATGATCATATTGGCCCATCTGGTCACAAGTCTTATTTTGAAGGTATTATCAGAACCAGAATAAGAAGTGCCAATTTCACAGTCAAAGTAATAATAGCGCTAGAAATTTTTATCATTAGTTTTTAAATTCCTCATGAGTTGCTTATCATGGGCTTAAAAATTGAATTGATATTTTAAAAATTTCCCCACAGCCATCTAAACTCAAATCATTCGTTTTTTCCTGATCTGCAGAAACTTAACAATGGGGTAGGTTTTAGTTTTCACTTAGAAAAAAAAGAATTCAAATTATATGTGTGTTCTTTTGGTAAAACTTCCACTAACAAGCTTTTTTCTAAAGTGTAACCATTAGTGTCCTTCAGAAAAGACAATTTCTTTCTACTATAGCTTCTTTTCTTATTTTTTCAACGAATATATTATAATGCTTCCCTTCCAGTGAAAAACATCCTTTTGATTTTGAGGTTGAAGCTTATTTGCCAAGAGGGAATATTTCTTAATTCATCGGGATTAGACAACTCTGACGGTGTGCCAAGTCAAATCTGAGTACAGCCTCGGAGTCCAGGACTTTCATTCCCCACTCTAGTAAACCTGGAAAGAGACTGGGAATCGGGGGAGGCAGGCGTAGTGTTGAAAATAGGGGAAGAGTTTCCTTCTGTGAACTAAATAATTTCGTTAAAGCAGCAGCAAGGCATCAGTGGAACGGTCCTGAATTAGGGCTTAGCAGTCCCGTGTCCCAGTATGTGGCATTAAGCGGGACGCTACAAAGACACCAATTTGATACACTAGGAAACAGAGGAGTAGGCCAGCAGATCTAAGCAAAACGGTATTACATTTGTTCTTGACTAGTTAGCCGTGGTTATAACTACTGTGATGTTGCCAAGTAAAAGGCAGAGTCCAGCAGGGCCCTCACTAGGTTCTGTACCACCACCTGACCTCACCGTCTACTGTCTCTCAGTCCAGCTGCAGCGGCCTGTGTTGCTCCTGCTCACTTCCGGCTCAGGGCCTTTGCACTGGCTGCCCTCTCTGCTGAAAGCCAAAGCCCTCCCTCACTGATCTGCACTGCTGTCTCTCTCCCTCCCTCCCTCCCTCCCTCCCTCCCTCCAGTTCTCTGCTGAGTGTCCTCTTCCCCTTGTACCTCACCCCCAGCCTCTGTATTTAGAAGTGATCGAGGCCTCCATAATTCTCTTTGTAGTTTTTCAAAATGGCATTTATCATCATCTGATTTCATTACAGGTTTGTTTATCTCCTTCTTGTCCCCCCACCCCCAGATAAAGGGATGTAAGTTTCAAGAAGGCAGGGATCTGTCTGGTCTATTTTGTATTGTGCTGCTGTATCCCTAGCTGTTAGAATTGTTCACGGCAGTTATGAAGTGCCCAGTAAATACTTTTTGAATGAAATATGTTGGAGAAAAGTGGGTATCTTGAGTCCATAATTTCTCACTTAGATTACTGGCATATGATAGAATTGTCCTGTTAATTAGCTTTAGGAGGTAGCTTTTTGTTTTATTTCAGGCTTAAGATGCTTTTTCAATTTAATTTCTATTCTTTCCTGTGGCCTCACCTGTTTACATTTAAAATTAAAATTGTCAGCGTTAGTGTGCCTTTAAATTAGGCACATTTCATTCGGAGCCATTCTGGGGAGGAAGCAGAAGTGTACTGAGGGGAGGTTAATTTTCAAAACTCTTCAAGGCTTGGAGAAAAGCACTGAGTCCCTTTCGCTGATGTAAACAGGCCCTTGTGTGAATCAGATTCACATCTGCTGGCCATTGTTTTTGTTCTGGTCAGTAGTAATCTATTTGTAATATGAGGGCCTTTTAAAAATTCTTGTTGGTCTTGCTATTTCTACATTGACAGTCGATAGTAAGGCTACTTGGTGTCCGTCGCCTTCCACATAAATTCTTTACTGTCTTCATCTAGCTGGTAGTTAGCCCTCTAAAACTCTGGCTATCATTCTTCAACTCTCTTAAGTAAAATAAGCATTTAGAATCTCTCATTTAATAACATTTTGTTCTGAATTCACAGTCAGGGGAAATGTGTGTCAGGCACAATCCTTATCCATCCCAGAGTCTTCTAAGAAGTTTTGTATGTACAGGAAAATCTCTGCCCAAGAGAACATGTGATGTTACATGACGTTGATACACAGCTGCCATGGATGTTTAAAAGGATTCATTCACTCAGCACCTAGTTATTGTGTATGGTTGTTTCTTACACCCATGGATTCTTTAAAAAGTCTAGGGGGAGAGGCAGTCAGTAATTATTAATATCTAATATTTAACAGTGGGATATAAAAGTCCTAAGGGAATCAAGAGATCAACTTTGCTGAGGAGGCTTTATGGAGGAGGTGACAGTCAGAGAGAGGAAGCTTCATAGAGGTAGAGGCATTTGGGATGAGCTTTCAGGATGAGCTACATTTTTTTTTTTAACTCAGCCTCAGTTTCTTTGTTTTGTTTTGTTTTTAATTTATTTAGTTGTGCTGGGTCTTAGTTGCGGCAGGCGGGCTCCTTAGTTGTGGCTTGCCAGCTCCTTAGTTGCAGCAGGCAGGCTCCTTAGTTGCGGCTCGCCGGCTCCTTAGGTGAGGCACGTGGGCTCCTCAGTGTGGCATGCATGTGGGATCTAGTTCCCTGACCAGGGATTGAACCCAGGCCCCCTGCATTGGGAGCACGGAGTCTTTTTTTTTTCTTACTATTTTTTTTAACATCTTTATTGGAGTATAATTGCTTTACAATGGTGTGTTAGTTTCTGCTGTATAACAAAGTGAATCAGCTATAGATATACATATATCCCCATATCTCCTCCCTCTTGCGTCTCCCTCCCACCCTCCCTATCCCACCCCTCTAGGTGGTCACAAAGCACTGAACTGATCTCCCTGTGCTATGCGGCTGCTTCCCACTAGCTGTCTGTTTTACATTTGGTAGTATATATAAGTCCTTGCCACTCTCTGACTTCGTCCCGGCTTACCCTTCCCCCTCCCTGTGTCCTCAAGTCCATTCTCTACGTCTGCATCTTTATTCCTGTCCTGCCCCTAGGTTCTTCAGAACCATTTTTTTCCTTTAGATTCCATATATATGTGTTAGCATACAGTATTTATTTTTCTCTTTCTGACTTACTTCACTCTGTATGACAGACTCTAGGTCCATCCACCTCACTACAAATAACAATTTCGTTTCTTTTTATGGCTGAGTAATATTCCATTGTATATATGTGCCACATCTTCTTTATCCGTTTATGGGAGCATGGAGTCTTATCCATTTCACCACCAGGGAAGTCCCAGGATGAGCTAGATTTTGACCAATGGAGAAAAGTTGCAGAAGCAATTAACAAAGATATGGAAATAAGAATGCAGAGGACATACTCTGGAAACAAATGGCCCATTTGGCCAAAGCACGGAGAAGAACTGGGGTTAAAGTTAGAATGGAAGGCTGACACTAGAGCAAGGAGGGTCATAAATGCTTGGCGAGACATCCAGACTATATGTGATTAACACCAATGCTGGTGTCACATCCCCAGGCACGCGCATTTATGTAAGTTAGACTATTATGATGACTTAGAAACTTCTTGGTCCTAGACACTTTAAGTTAGTCTGCAAAAATGTCTCTTGAGAAAGAGCATTTTTTTTCATTGCCATGTAAGAAATTAATGCTTACTGTAGAAGATATTGGAAAATGGTATAAATGGTGTAAAGAAAATAAAAGATGTCCATAATTCCACACCCTGTTAACATTGATATCTCTTTTCATTTTTTCTCTTTATACTCCTTTTTTGTTTTCCTTTTATCAAAGCTAGGATCATAGTTGGTGTACACTTCCTGACTTTTTTTCACTAACAAACTTTGAACATTTTCCTATGGCAAAGAGTTTCTTTAAAAACATGGTATCATATCACAGAAATACAATGTAACTTGTTTATCTGTTTTCCTGACTTGAATAGGTAGGTTGTTTCTACTTTTTTGCTGTACTGAATATCCCTTCTTCATGGACAGTAGCCCGTGCTTAATTGTACACTCTTCTAAGCTCTTCATATATTAATCTTCATTAATCCTCATTTAATCCTCAAAGTAACACAGGGGAGTAGACATATTATTCATATCCCTAGTTTACAGGTGAGGAAAAGCAACTTACACAAGTAATTTTTAATAGGAAATGGTAGAGCCAAGCAAATCTTTATCTACTTTGGGAAAACTGGGTCAAAAAATATAAAGATTAAGGAGATAATTATATAAACATATTTATATATTATTATATATTACATTATTTAGTACATATTATATACTATTATATATTACTTAGTAGGTATATATTATTTAGTAGATATATGTTAGGAAATTGTTTTAGAAAAATGGTGTGGCTCTTCCTTCATTCTCACGAAGATTCTGATGTTCAGATGGGAACTGAGTTTATAGCCTAGTCAGCAAGTATCTACATGGCTATTTTCTGAAGGGTTTTGATATAAGAGTGACAGATTTACAGGGAAGGTACCTCTGGGCAGCAGCTTCTCCAGCACCTTTATACAGAGAGACTAAGATCACTGTGAAAATGTAGTTCTGGGTTCTAGAGCTGCATTGCTTCATATATTTAGTGAATTGCCTATAAAGTTTTGTTGGTGTAGGTTCTGCTTTGGTTTCTGGAGCCAGTGGATTTGATCAGGTTAAGCATCTTCCCTGCACTAGCCTCCCCTCCTTACCTAACCTAATTGCATAGCAAATGTAATGAGTTTTGAAGGGTCAGTTGCTGATTCCTTGGAAAAAATAAGACTTGGAGATCTTTGGGTAATACGAACACTGAGTTCTTTCTATCCTATGTTCTTTGATATTGATTCACAATTTCCTTGGGTTGTTTGGTTATTCCCCCTTTGTAAAACACTGATTAGATAGAAAGGAGGCCTCTAGGACAGAGAGCACTAATTCTTTTTTTTTTTTTTTAAATGATTTCCTTGAGAATCCCGTCCCATACCATGTGGTCCTTTAAAACAGACTATGGTATGGTATGCCTATATCCATAAACTCCTACATCTCCATACGTAGCAGTGCTGCTGGACACGAAGGAAAAGAGTCCTGTTTGGGGATTGAGTCCATCACTGTGTAAATAACGCCTGGGAGGGAAGGCATCTCATGCTTCCATAAGGCTTATCAAACCCTTTCTAGCATGAAAGCAGGCAAAGGATTGTGAAGACATGAAATACTCAGGATATATTTTGAAAGCCAGGGCAGTAGTGGGGAGAGGTGTTGTTGAGGGTCAGCTTGTATAATTTATTTATTTTTGCTGTGTTGGGTCTGAGTTTCTGTGCGAGGGCTTTCTCTAGTTGTGGCAAGCGGGGGCCACTCTTCATCGCGGTGCGCGAGCCTCACTATCGCGGCCTCTCTTGTTGCGGAGCACAGGCTCCAGATGCGCAGGCTCAATAGTTGTGGCTCACGGGCCCAGCTGCTCCGCCGCATGGGGGATCCTCCCAGACCAGGGCTCGAACCCGTGTCCCCTGCATTAGCAGGCAGATTCTCAACCACTGCGCCACCAGGGAAGCCCAAGGGTCAGCTTGTATAAATGGTGGCCCACTGAGGTGGTGGTCCAGAGGGCCCATCCATAGGCAAGTGAAGGCCTAGGGGTGGAGGAGAGAGGGCTCCTGAGACAGTTTCTGTTTTCCTTATTATTTGGCCCAGGATGGGGACTGAGAACTTGTCTATAGCTACAAAACTAAACAAAACAAAAGAAGAATAGAGATTTTTGAATCCAGTGTGAGGATTTCGTAATCATTCCTTTTTTTCTGTTGTTGCTAATGTTTGCTTTTACATAATAACAAATCTGTTTATGTCTGCAAAGGATTAGCAGTGGACCCTGCTTCTGGAGCAAAACTCAGACAAGGATTTACTAAACCTAAAAAAAGATTAACTCCTAGAGGCCAGGTAAGAAAAAAAAAAAATTAACCTCTAATCCAGGTGTTGCCGATCATCCAATGGGCAAGACAGTTACTGAGCCTTTAAGAGAATGAATCCATAGCAGGCCAGTCAGAGAGGAATTTGGGCAGATCCTGATTTGTGTTACTAAAATGTATGTTCTTGAAATTTACTCTTTTGTTAAACATATAGTTTGAAATGACGTTCAGTTTTTGCTTCTTGGATTTAACAGGAAAGGGGAATGATTTTTCATTTTGACCTGGAAGGTTACTGCCCTATCCCTTTTTCCAAACAAGGACAGTTCCCTGAGATTGACACTGAATAGGACTGCTATGAAGTTGGAGACTTTTTGATATGTGAATTGTTAAAACAATTAAAATTTTAAGAGGCATTCTCAATGTGGAAACAACGAAGTTCTAAAGTAAATGCCTTTTCTTTCTGCTTTCAGACTGGCTCCCTAAAAGTCCTCAGCCTGGATGGCTGTGTACCCAGGAAAGCCACCTAAGGGGAAGGATGGGGAGGCATCTGTTTACATGCCCATGATTTCTCTTGAGACATCATGTAGAACAAGTAAAAACTAGCTTCAAATTTTCTTATCTACTCCCTTCAAAATTTTCCCCCCAAATCGTTAAACAACACATCAACCTGTATGATAATGCTTGATTTAAAGATTCATTTGAAGCTTTTTTTTTTAAGTGGACATTTAATAAGCTTTTAAAGAAAATGTTGCTTTGATATTAGAAACTTTTAGTGAAACAGTCTTCGGTGTACTAACACTATTGCTTTCTAGGAAAATCATTTTTTACCTAACTTTATTCTATATAATAGCTGTGAAATGTCAGCTTTGTTATTTGCTTCTAATGAACATTAAACTATAATTAGTAACCATTCCTATTTTAAATGTCCATCTGTATACCATGTATAATTGTCTCACACCAGTGTACACAGTTGATTTTGGGGGAACACTACAGTGGAAGGAACAGGTTACAGTAACCTTCCCACCCTGTGGAGAGGATGCTCTAAGTGGCCTCAGGCCATTTATTTATCATGGCCAACTTGGAAGTCAACTGTTCATTTCACCATTGGTTTATGTAGCTCTGTTGGGAGGTGGTGTCCCAACTATTTTTTTCCCTTGGTCATCTTAAGGGTTAGTAAACTCTTTTTGTAGAGTCATTTATACTTAACTCTTGCTTTTTAATCTAAGAATTTTTTATCTTTTATTAAACTCAGGGAATTTTATTTAGGAGTAAGCCATCTTTTTCTAATTAGGAGAATACCGACCTACTCCCACCTGTGGTACAGCAAACATGACATCTGAAAGTCTTACAATCTGTATTTTGGGAACTAAATGCTATGTTTTATGCTCAGGTAAATCAGGTATGTGTTCTGGAATTGACTGAAGACTCGTAAGCCACATAAAAGTATTTATGGAACCTTCTGTAAATGGAATTTGGGAAGCTTGAGCTGAGGGGAGCTGCCACTCTACCGCTCTCCGCTTGCTCTGAGAGACTGCCTTCCCTTGGAGAGGTAAGTGGATTTGTGAACTGAGACATCCCAGAGCAGTAGATTCCTACTGACGAGGTAACCTGTGTCCCTCTGTCTCATTTTCTTCCCCGCAAGTGAAACCGTAGTTTAAGGACCCACCATGTCAGTTCCACACATGCAACAGCCCGGCCCCAGGTAGCTTATCTACAATGCCTCCCACCCTTTATGGTCATCAGTATCACCTTTAAGGACTGTGAACCAGTTTCTCACATTTGGCTAATATGCTGCTTTAATGGGCGAACGAACTCAAGGTTTCCCTTTCTCTACCCACCCCCACCCTATTTCGAGGTAAAACAAGCAAAAATAAACAGTATTATGGGGGAATACTTTCTGAAGAAATCCCAATATGAAATAATTTCTAATTTGTCCTAGAAATTAATAGTAAACACGATTGTAAAACGGGATCATGGTAGCCTAGCCTAGACAAAACTTTAGTAGCTAGTATTCTGACCTTATATATCAGAAATAAATTACATAGCATTCTGGAAGGATTCAGAATGTTATACAGTAATTTTTAGAAATAAGTTCTTAGCACTGTGAATTTAATGAAGCATATAAGCTCGTACCTTAAATCATAATTATTTTACTCAAAAAAAAGAAGGGGGGGTTAGTTTCTAAAAGATGCTGACTAGAGGTCAGAATAGTAGTTTCTGTAGGGGATGTAATGGCCAGGAGGGGGCATGAGGGAGCCGGCCAAGGAACTGGAACTGTTTTCTATCTCAGTGTGGATAGTTCCGCGGTGTGGTTGTATATAAAAATTAATCGAGCCACGTGCAGAATTTGTAGAGTTTATTATACGTAAGATATATCTTCATATAGAAAGCCTCTAAACACAAAAGACAAAGGAGCTTTAAAAAAAGGTTAGGTTTTATATTTTAAAAACTCATTAGATACCAAATTCAAGAGATAGATTATAGTTACATTGTAAAACGTTATCTTTTTTGAATAAAACTAATATTGACTTAAATGATGAATTTTAAAATGCATTTACTTATTGGTGATTAAAAATACTTAAGCAGAGTAGTATTTTAAGCCAGACAGAGCAAAGGAAATTCTTGTTTAATATATATATATATATTTTTTTAATTCCAGTAATATTCTTAAATTCCTGTTAAAAATATAATCAATATTAAAGTCAGTAAAATGCCTTTTTTGACTGACGCCTGGATTATTTTACCGCTTAACCTGGTTACACAGTGATTTTTTTTTTTTTTTTCTGTCAGATGTAACTGACAATCAGTTTAGTCTTTAAGATAAATGAAGTGATAACTCACATTGTAGCATCCTGTGGAAAATATTCAAACTACATTTAAAATGCTTTTTTAAAATGGAGACATCTATTATTCCACAAGAAATTGTTTCTGTAAAACTATAGGTTGGCTATGGCAATAGTAACTAAACTACATCCAACCCTGAAGGTAGAAAAATCCCTGAAAAGAAATACACAGCCTAGTCATAATATGCAATATAAAGGTTATTTTCTTATTTTAAAAATTCTCCCATTTTGGAGAAATCCAAACCTTTCCATAGTTCCCTTACTAGGCAGTGCCACATAAAGTTATTTAGTTAACATTATTATGATCATGGCTTACGATTAAGTTCAATTTGACAAACACCTATATATAGCAGCCCTCGTATGGATGTCGGTTATGACAATGGTTGCAGTTCCATTAAAGAATACTTGCTTATTAAATTTGGTACAAAGCATGAATACTCAGGACAGATTGGCACAATACATGCAGTTCGAGAACTCTCTTCTCTCAAGCCAGTCATCACTGAATAAGCCATATTCCAGTCCTGCTTTCTAACTCTTTCCTTGTATCATAACTGATGTTTAAAATGCTTCTTAAAACATCTTCCAGAATAAGAACGGTACGCTTTAAAAACCAGTCATCTGAATGCATGGTGGAAATGAGGCAGGATAGCTGAACCAGTGCCAGCTGGGAAAACATGGGGGATGGGGGGCAGGGGGAGCTGGCCCAGGCTCATAGTGCTCATGGCGAGTGAGGGGTCTTGTTGCTGCTGCCCCAGACAGCTTAACCTGTGGGGCAGAGATTCCCCAGGCCCCAGAGTGAGACTGCTATTCCCAAAGGCATTTTGGGTAGCAGGAGGGGGCAGCTGCCAGAAGCCCAACAGAGGGGAAAGGTCCAAAGAGGCAGGTATTGTTAGGTTCACAGCGTCTGCAGGTAGCTCCTTGGGCAGGTTTACTTTACCAGCACCTCCCTTGGCCAGATCAAAACCTGGGTTGAGCTTGTGAGGTGACTGAGGCTCTTGCAGAGGCAAGTCCTCAAGCAAATTGGTATTGCAAAATCCTTTAGTATCCGCTTTGAGGGGCAGGCTTGCAAGTGGGGAGTATGAGGTAGAACTGGTGTTGTACTTGTGATTCTGGAGGGGTGGGGGAGGAGAGCTGGGGGATGCTACGGGGTGGAGCGGGGCCAGGAGCTCTGGCAGCGCTGGCACAGGCTGGGAGGTTTGCTCCGAGGGGCCGTGGGTGTGGCTGTGTACCTCAGCTGGCAGGCCGCTTGCAAGCCCGTTCTGTGCAGGAGCCCCTAAAGGGAAAGGAGGCAGTGGGGCGGCCTTCAGCTGGAACTGCGGAGAGAGGGAGTGGAAGGTGTTCAGAAGGTCTCCGGACTGCAGACTCTCTTTCATCAGCTCCTGTGAGTGTGTCTTCTTGGTGTGTCGCGTGAGGTGGTCTTTGCGCCCAAACCTCTGGGCACAGAACTGACACAGGAAGTCCTTGCAGCCTGTGTGGACCACCAGGTGGCGCCGCACGTCTTTCCGGGTGTAGAAGCATCTTTCGCAGTGGTCGCACTGGTGCTTCTTCTCCTTGGCTCCACTCGGGGGCTTCTCTTCCGCGTGGGCCTTGAGGTGGTCCAGCAGCACCTCCGTGCTCCCTAGCTCCAGGGCACAGACCCCGCAGGTGAGGTCGCCACTGCTGGCCGCGTGCAGGGCCAGGTGCCTCTTGTAGCCCAGCATGGTGTTGTACTTCTTCCCGCACTCCTCGCACCCAAAGGCCATTTTGTTGGGGTCGTGCGTCTGGAGGTGGTTTTTCAGGTGGTCTTTGCGGTTGAAAGTCTTCTCACAATGAGCGCACTGGTGGGATTTCTGGGGCGAGTGGGTAGCCATGTGCCTAGGAGCAGAAGGAAGAAGTTCACAATAGACCCAGTGGTTTAAGAGCTGGAGAAACGTAGAGAAACAAACAGTATTAAAATGTTGATAGTAGTTTTCTCTAGGTGGTGGCATATGTGTTTTAGTTTTAAAATACTTTTCTGTATTTTCCAGATTCTACACATAAACGTTATAATAAAAAAACAGGTACTACGTGATGCCGTTTTCACACGTGTAAAGAATATGCTTTGAGAACACATTTTCCTAATGTACACAAAGAGATTTCTAAACAAATACAAGTATACAAGCATTTTAAGATATATGATCATGAAGAAATATTTTTCAGGAAGGGGTTTAAATGACTATTCTATACTCTTAAAATTTCTGAATTTCCAGAAGTGATACAATTTGCCTTCTACACATAACCCCATACCCCTGCCCCCCCAGTGTTGTTATTTTTATGGTTTCCAATACAATTTCTGCTTGGTCTTTATTGAGACAAAAAGTTCAGGCCTTAGACATAAACATAAAACTAAAAAGTCTATCATCTTTAACCTCAGAGAAAGTGTCTAACTGGACCCAGAATGCCACCCCTACCACCTGTTCTCGGAGCGTCCGCCTCCTGCCTCCCATGAGACCTTTACGCTGAAGTCTTAGTTTCTGCCGTTTAATACTTTCCTATTGGCTATCATGTCACATGCGTGCAGCCCGTCTCCATTTCTTCAGGATCCCTCTTAGACACCTTCAGCTCACTTCCTAAAGGTCACTGGTAATTCCTTCGGCAAAGTTCAAAAGGACTTTTTCTAGAAGGACTAAGACAGTAGAGGGAAACATACACTGACTGCGGCAGGTTCTGTGAGACAGGTACAAACAGTGTTGAGGAACGGGGACAATGCAACAGGTATTTGGGGGATCTGAAGTGATGCTGGTCTCTCCAAGTTTCACATGCATATTTAAATACATTCCTAGGTTGTCGAAAGGATTTTTCGAGGTTGCTGGAGGGCAAATAACAAACTTGATATTTAAACAGTTTTCTTTCTATTTGGTCCAGCACTAATGTTTAGGAACCCTAAAGCTCTGTTCTGGATCTTGTCCCTCTCCCCTTTTTCCTTTGTGAAGGATTTTTATCTGATTAAATTTCATTTATCACCCCTGTGTTAGATCAGTACCCAGTTAACAACTCTGGACCTGGTATTTCCTACCCACACTTTGCTGTCCTACTGCTGTCCTACCTATGAGAAAGGCTCGGGGGGACACAACTCTTACCTGAGCAATGACACTTTTCACATTCTACCAGCTACCACCCCTCTTTTTTGACTCTTTCCTCTGCCTGGCATCCAATTCTTCCTTTAATTTCCCCCTTCACCTGCTCATGCAACAGTTCCAGTCTAGAACATGATCATCTTATGGCTGAAATTACTTCCACATTTTGTTTCCCTCCCTAACTTCTCCTCTTACCTCACAACCCAAGAAACCACCAGTTTCAGTCTGTCCTACAGTCACCAAGTACCACCGTCTTTGGGCGTCACCTGGACCACATCAATGATCTTAGAATTCCTCCGGGGTTAACTGCTTACACTGGGACTTCGTCTGCCTTGCCAAATCACCGTTCCTGCCCTTTGCTATCTCCATCTAACTGCTTTCATCCTTCGCTGTATTAAGTAAGTCCCATGTTCTCTTTTCTAGTTAAGCAAGTCAGTTAGTTTCTTCTTCAACCTCTGCTTATAAAATGGATCTTATGTTACAACTGAGGGACACAGGAAGGAATGCTGCCCTTTTTTAAAAAAAAAAAAAGCAAAACCTAAAGCATCCTGCCCTCTTGCCACTCTTCTATCCCTTTATTGGATCGCTGCTTCAGGCCAGAGAGGCAAGAAATGTCGGGGACTGCGGCAGGGAAGGCCGTCCTTGCATGAAGTACACTGCTTCCCTTTTCTGCTTCTCTTCACACCCTTAGCTGAACAAGTCGTTTCCCTTCCTCAGCACCACCACCACCTACCTCCTAAATATTGCCTAAGACATCTTCTTCAGTGCGGTTTACCACAGTAATCCCACCTAATTCCTGTCATTCCTGTAATCTGTTAGCGCCACTGTCTTTTCCAAATATTTATCTCCTATATGTGTTTTGGTCTTTATCCATGGTTATAATATCCTCACTGTGGCTTAACTGCAGCTAACACTGCTTTTGGTGTTCGGGTAAGGATAATTACTGTGTACACATAAGAAGCGGGTTGCAAAACAGGAAGCCTTTGCAACAAAATTGGTGCATACAGTAGGCACTCAACACACTTATGGCAACTAGAGATCAGCCGACGTATAGAACACATTTGAATTTTAGGCGTGTATAGGCTTATTTTAACAAATCAGCTTATTATATTACATCATCTGTAACAGTGTTATTCTTAAGAGCCATAATTTATATCTCTCTTAATTCTTTCAAGTGCCTTCCTCCAGGGGCATTCCCAGATCTAATTATAATGTGGTTCGTGTTCATACCACTCAGATGGAAACTCTCTCCTGCTAAATTCTGACTCTTACCTATGCATTTCTATGTTAGTCTGAAAGTGAAAGTTCATTTCATGAAAATTAGAGGCAAACGATGCATTTCCCTTAACCAGGTATCAAGAGGCACAGATTAGTGGCAGTTCTGTGTGTATAGCTCTGAAGGTACCATATATTCAATACATAACACACACAGCATTTATTGTCAATCAGCCTACTGTGTGACTTACTGATTTTGAGTATATATTATACGCAAATATAATATAAAAATCCTTTACAGGCAGAAAACTACATCTCATATTCATTTCCCTCAGGGAAGTGAGTACCTAATAGGCACTCAAGAAATACTGATAATTCAGACTAAATGTACTATATCTAAAAAAGGACCTATCTCCTAAAAGAGTAGTTTTTACCCTCTGTCATATCATGGATACCTTTGAAAATCTGATTAAATGCACATACTTAACATCTGTATACCCAACAGAATTCCACTTGTTAGGGTGGCTTTTAGAGCCAAGTTGAGAAACTGCTCCAAAAGCCAACGCTCGGAGAGGAACCCGCCCCCCTCCATGCTTACTCTCAGAACCTAGACAAGCTCTCCGTATTTCATACCTGGACTGTTAACAACAGATTGCAAATCAGTCTACAGGCCTCTTCCCTCTTCTCCAGATTACTACCAGAGCCATCTTTCTAACACCCCGACCAAATCATGTTTTTCAGTTCTTAGACTTACCAGAAGAAAACAAACCCTTTAGGACAGCAGACAAGGCCTGTTTTGAGCTGCTTCCTTCTCCCCTACACTTTGGGCCTCACCTCCATTCTCATCCGCCGCTACCCTCTGTGCACATGTGCTTCAAGGACAAGGCTTAGGGCTTTCCCAGAACCTCCTTCCTCACTGTCTGCCTCCCATTCATTCTTTAGATCACAGCTAAAGACTGTACCTTTCTGAGGAGCCTCCCCAGGTCTCATCAAGCAGTGGAGAACAACTTCCGCCACCTGCATAGCTCTGTCAAAGCCCTTAGATTACATTTTAATGGTGTTTGCATGACTATCTCCCCAGCCATGTGTCTTCTCATCTTTCTGTCCTTAGGCCTGGCTTATTGCAGGAACACAAGAAATATTTGTTGAAAAAGTGAACTGGACACTGCAAAGCACAACTGTCATACAAAAACTATAGTAATCACTGGAGGTACAGCCATAAAGGCTAAAATGCATCCACATTCTGCATCCCTTTTCCCCTGCAGTGTTTGGTCTGAGGGCTAGCAAAGCCTTTTAAAGGTATGTGTAAAAGTACATACCTTTTCTAAAGCCTCTCACCTCATTAATTTATATCTGGAAATGAAGGCTTTGCCACAGTCTGGCTGCAAGCACTTGTAAGGTCGCTCCCTGGAGTGGGAATAATTGTGGATAGTGAACTTCTCCAGGGTGAGGAACGTCTTGCCACATAATTGGCAGGGGTAGGTGGCCATGGGCTTTGTCTCTCACACCTTCCTTTTCAGATGCGCTGACCAAATGCTGTGCCATTTAAGTACCAATAGAAGGACGGTGCTGAGCACATCAGCAGAGCCACAGCAGCTGACCGCCAGGCCAGGGGGGAGGCAGCGTTGTGGTCCCGGACCTGGTTCTACCCAGACATGGGCCTCTCAGTTACCACTATCTCTGCTTCCTGCTTCCCACATCCCAGTTTCCACGCAGTCTCAGGTTGAGAGGAGCAAGTCTGAGGCATGGATGAGGTTCCAGAGCGTAAAGGCAATCGGCATCACTAGAGCTGGGGCACGTCCTGGACCACCAAACTGTCTGTGGAGAGAAGGGGAACAGTTTCCTTGCATTTCATCTGAAAACAATGCTGCTCCTCCCCCACCAGTTCAGCATCAACTCCCCAGAATCAACGTGTTCCTTTAAATGGCTTGAACGCAGCACAACTCTGCATCCTCCTGTGTGCTTTAAGAGGTCCTTCTGCATATAAGTCCACCTGTCTGTGCTTCTCCTGGGTGGCAGGAGTCAAGCGCACAGTGTTTTGACGGTAGATGAAGCGCACTTTCCCTTGTGATAGAGACGGCTATTTCCATAGAGTCGGTATTATCGACTTCAAACCATGATTTCGGGTCATTGCGAAGTTCAGTCTGCCAATTCAAAGAAAAAACAAAAAAACCTCCCCAGTGTGTTCAAGTGTTTTACTGGTACAGAAAAAAAAAAAAAATCATCCCTGCTTATTCAAACCATGGGCCAGTCCTCTTCACTCACTGTTGGCAGAACATAAGTTGTTTATCACACCTGTTTAAACCTCCAGGGGATGAGCCGAAATAATCTGTATACATATAAGTTAATTTGTTACCGTGAGGTTACCGTGCAGGACTCAAGTCTACGATGTAAACAAAGTGGGAATAAAGCTAGTTTAGTTCACTGATGCGGTACCTTCAGAGGGGAGACGAGAGATTCCCACAGAGACAAAGGGACAGCTCGGGCAGAGCTCAGAGCACATTTAGATGTGCAGGCACCATCCTCCAGGAAACTGTTCTACTCTTCTTTTCCCCTTTCGTTTATGGGGACATTTCCTCATTCCCCAGCCCCAGCCTGGGGGACCAGCTACCTGTTGGAAGGCCACTCCTAGGAGGTGGGCTTGCCGCCTCAATCTGCCTCAAATCCCAGTTATTAGCACCCTTCCAACCCAGGCAGATCACCCAAATCCAGGCTCTTCTTCTACCAACAGACCATCATTTGGAAGCCTTAAGAGTCCAAAGCAGCATCATGAACAACACAGTAAAGGCCTGGCTACCTAGAATCCTGTGCTATTCTAGACAGAGTTAATCCTCAGGCAATGGACATTAACCTTTCAAGTGCCAATATTTAAAAAAAAAAAAAAAAGATAGCATACTGTATGCTTACATTAAACACACTGGAGTAGCTTTTGTACCCAGGCCAGCTTTTTCTGAACTTTGTCAAGTGAGCAGGGCACTCATGGCAACCTGACCAATCCCAGCAGGTCTTCAAGGCGTCTATTCCTTGCAGTCATTCATTTATTGCCAACTCCTTTAGAGCTGCTCTTTACTGTTAAAAGTTAATTTTTACTTACCTTTGTAGTTACTTTCAGATCAGAAAGTTGGAGTCTAGCTAGATGGAATTTTACTAATATAATAGCTCAAGCATCTTTAAACATATCAGCACCTAGCACATGCAACATAGACAAACACATTCCTTTTTTAAGAGGCAAAAAGTGCAGGAAACTTCTTGTGTTCCTCATCAGTTAGCTCGGGTGTTTTTAGTGTCTGGTCAGAGTTCACAAGGAGCCAGCACCAGGCAGACACCCCTCACCATCCTGCCCCACCTGCTTGGAACCTTCAGAGCTGACGTGTGCACTTTGACCTGAAGCTTCAAGCACTGATCCAAAGCCGGGGACACCGGCGTTCTCAGCTAGCATCTTGGCACCAAACCTCCCTTCTGATGGCGACACACACAAATGTGTGTGTTATTCCTCTGTGACCAAATGTGACTTGAACTGAGCCCCTGTCCCAGCTCTGTCCAAACCCCTCTCCCCCAGCTCCTTGCTCCTGCAGCGTCTGCCAGCTCACCTCGCTGCCCGGCCTCGAGGCATCTCTACCACCCTGGCCACAAAGTAATTCCTTCCAGGAATTCTACCCTGTGTGGCCGAGTTTTTGCTGCCAGGACTCATGGTGTGTCCTACTTCTCATCCAGCCTAAGTCTGGCTATAATACTGGCCCAGCTATAAAGGCATAGAATTTATCATCATCATTAAATATACTCATTCACTGGAAACTGCTGTTTTTTTTCCAGGTCTATTTTAAGAGATTAAAATGTACACACAATATGAAGTTTGAAATTCATTTTTTTCTTGTTCTCTTTATAGCTGAACTCAGAATAGCGCTAGTCACTCAGAAGGAGCTGGTCTGGCTTCTCACCTACACCGATCCCCTGCATGTATGCTTTAAACGCATTCTCCCCAGCTGCTGCTTTATGAGAGATGACCAGTGTCCAACAGAACTTTCTCTGACGGAAATGGATGGCTATCAAAATGTGATACCGAGAAACAAAATTTTCTTATTTAAGTAGCCACAGGAGGCTAGTGGCTGCTGTACTGGAAGACACAGGCACTCTCAGTTTCACTGTCAAAAGAGACAAAGGCAAGGCTACCCTTTCCTTCAGGCACAGCTATGCCGCTCATTTGCCCTCAGGCGTTTCCCTGAAGCACAAAAGGTATTTATGTAGATCCAGTCGTTTGTTTTATGAATACAGTAGAAAGATTCCCTACTTCAAATTCCAGCTCACCCCTTTGTTAGCTGTCCTGAGTTTCAGTTTGTGTTATCTATCTGATGCATGTAAATGAGCTGGTAGGGACAACCAACTGAAACAAGATGGATCTGAAAGTACCCTGTAATCTAAAAACACCACACAAATACACGGTAGCATTTATAAACACTGGGATTAAAAGCAGAAACCATCAGCTGCAAACTGGCACATGGTTCTAACCACTGAGCTATGGATATAACAGAAAAGAGACACACGTTCTCTCCTATGTATGCTTCATAGTGGGAGGACCCAGTAGCCTGGATAATACACATGCTCAACACACACAGGACATACGAGGTTGCAAGTAAAAACTGGCCCGAGCTCATTGTTTCTCAACAGATACCAACTTTGATTGCTCACCAACGCACCAAGCATACAAAGGAAAAATGAGATTTATTCAAGAAAAAAGTACCTGCCTTTAGCACTGAATGAAGTTTTCCCAGATGCACTTTCCAGCCACTTCCCTAGATTCAGAAGTCCAACAAGCTGTAGACCTCATTACCTTTCCCTCTCGGGCCTTCAAAGACGGTGGGTATATAATCAAGGCGTTTTAGACATGGCCATACTGTATTTAAATATGAGACATTTCCTCCAACTCTTTCCCCATTAAACTTGCAAAGAACAACAACAAAACATTAAGTCACTTAAGCATTTTTGTACTTATTAAACTTATTGCATTAATGCCTTTGCCAAGACTGTTGTCTTTCTGAGTTTTGGTCTCTGTGTTAAATACACCTAGTCCAACCCTAAGTGCAAAGTTGGTCCTCAGATGTTGAACTGAATGAATTTATAATAGTAAACATTCCTCAGTTTCTTCAGGAAGGCTTTCTTGAATGATGAACTCAAATTCACAACTAGTTATAACATTTCATTCACCATAACTCTGTATTTCATTAATATGGATCTTCAAATATAAATATTTGCACTGTTTTCATGATACAATCACAAACTATTATAAACACAGTCTTCCCAACAGATTATAAATTCATCGTGGCTGAGGATCAAAGCCCAGCTATTTTTAAAAAATAAACTGTGTGGATACTACAGCATCTCCCATCACCATGTACTTGACCAGTACTGGCTGGCTGCTGCTGATTCCAATCTTTGGTTGAAACCTGATGAGCTCTCTGGCCACCACGCCCTTCAAACAGACTTGTGATTAACTTTCTAATATTTGGCAAACCTCCAACAGTCCTAACGGAGAACTAACAAAGGGATGGTCCTGATGATAGTCCGCTCTGTAACTTGACATGCAGATTGCATTTGAGTCTTAAATACGGTAATAGTTCAACACCTGTCACCCTGGAAAGATAGTAAGTCTTCCCCCAAAACATCTCAGGACATAATTTTCAATCCCCTTGATTCTAAAAATACTGAGTGAGTGATACAGATCTGCCAGTATGCCAAAGAAGGCTTGTGCCATCTGCTTCATTCTGTTCATGCTGATTATTTTGGGGATGAGAGAGCATCAGATTGGAATAAGAACATATATATATGGCAACAGCCAGGAAGGACTGTGTTCCCTGAGGGCTGATGGTATATGACGGCGGAGGGAGAGGTCAGGGCACAAGTGTAGTTCCAGGACGTCCCCAGTGCTGCGTAACACAATCAGCTAATGGGAGACAAATGTTTTACAACATTCTCAAAATAAACTATGACTTCTGGCTTCTATTTCCATTGTCCCCAGTGACACGATGCAAGGCCCATTTCTGAGAGGAAACTGAATTTCCATTTTTAGTCTCGCAACATGGGAACTCTTAAGTTCTTTTCTTGACTCCATTCATCACTCCTTGTGGACAAGAAGGTTCTACTCCGGACTTTTCTCTCTCCTAGTCCTGAAATCTGGGATTGCTTTCATAGATATGTATTAAGGCCAGTTTTAAAAGGGCCTCTAATAAGCTGTTTCTTCTTACACTCACAAAATATGAAAGAGCCAATCATGGAGCAGGGCAGGTGGAAATGCATTGTTTATTTGGCTCCAGGAGGCTCCTAGAGAGGGCGCTCCCCTCAATATTTGAAGGACTCTGATAGCAAGTCTCTATCATCTATGAAAAAACCATCCAGAAACATCAGCTGGAGGAAGAAGCTACTCAGAACCTCCAGGTGGTTGCTACTTCTTGTTTTTCATTATGCGCATGCATTGTAAAACTTGTTAGGTGTTGTATCTGAGCAAGCATGGTGTTAGAAGAGTTGGGGCTCATTATATGTCTCATCAGCGAAAGAGGAGCTCTTGGGGCTGGATTAGTAACCTGGTTGAGGATTACAGATGTGAAGCTTGACGAGTACCCTACCAGATGGCTGTGGCTGGGTTTTCAACCTTAACTGAGAACAGGGGTTCGTAAGTGGGGCCCATGGCAGAGGTTCCAGGGCCCATGGCTGAGAATTCTCAAAAATTCTGTGCAAAATTAGGAGGCATGTGTATTAGAGTTCTTAAGAGGAGAGGGACCATAGCTTTCTTCAGATTTTCTAAGGAGCTCTAGATTTAAACAGGTTAAAGGACACTGACTTAGATGAAAAAAGGGAAAATCCCTCTTGGTGCTATCAATTCAGTTTCACTTTTCACAAAGTCACTGATATTTCCTAAGCGATGGACCATATATTTGGTGCCTCAGTCACTGCATTTTATCAGGTTAAAGTAAAAAAAAGGGGGGGGGGGGAGCGGGGGTCTATAATAATTTTCTTTGGAAATTCAAGCAATAAACAACTTCTACAAATTTCGTTTCAAACGTGGGTAATGATGATAATTAATAGATTCTATCATCTAAAACAGGGCTTCCTTTTGACTAGAGGGAAGGTTGCCCTCAAAATCATAGGGATT